GAATAAAAAATGTTTTGGGACTTATGAAGGAAAGTGTCAATAAGAAAAATCTGACAAATATTGCTGAAATGAAAGAAGAGGTGGTCCGATATTGGGACAGCATGGACAACGACTTTCTAACATCTTTGATCAGTAGTATGCCCCCCTCATTGAAGCCTGCATTGATGCCCATGGTGACTTGAGTTATGTTCTGCTAATATTCACATTTAATACGTGAGCAATGAGTGACAAAAATTTAAAAATTGCAATCTTTAAATTCGCAATAATTTCTGGTTGTATGTGTATATGTGACACAGTGTTCTCATCCTAAACTAGACACAAGTCATATCATGACACATCATGTGTTTTTCGACGCTGTACAGTATTATGAAATAAACCATATATACCTTTAGTTACCAGTGGAGTTATTTCAAGTATGAGGAAAACTTTAATATGGATATAGAACTTCTTTATTCTGTATAGGTGACGTTTCGACATAGATTCTAATGTCGTTGTCAAGCAGTGTCCTCATTCTTCATCTCCTCAACTTCTAAAATTACAATCAAAGAAGTGGAGTTATTTGATAATACATGTATATCATACGCACATGCAAAACGCGTGGTTCATGGTGACGTAAACCAATCCACACGTTCCATCGTAGGTCCAATTCATTTCCTGAGAATCTGGTTTCATTTTATAGAATAGCCGATATGACATTCCCGACAAACGTAACAGAATTATGTGTGATACAGAAAGTGAGAGAATTACCGTTATGCAGCCAACACTCGTCAGCTGCAATATTACTAGTTATTGTATTATATTACCTATCCAATCTATACTATACAGCGCGACATTATTAGAATGCTGTGCTTCTAGAAACACAAACAGTTTCGTTATTAAAATCATATTTCGCCTTTGTCACGCGTTCATTATAAAACATACACACGTACATATGAATAGCAATTTGACATGGTGAGCAATTTCCTTTTTTTAAATCAACATCAAATTGCAATTGCTTCATTCGACACGTGGATAACAATCAAAGTAAAACTACTTTTCGTTCCAATGTGAAAATAATTATCTGCCGTCACAGCTGTCTCCGGCGACCTTGTTTTGAAAGCGCGCATGAACGGATGCTTCGTGAACCATCATGGTGCGTTACAGTTAACTCGCCAAAAACATCAGCTTCCGCATCTACCAAGTTTAAAGCGCGCTGACCTACTTCGGAGAAATGTCCATCGCATGTTTAATACTTCGACAGCGGTACGCTTATCAAAAATGCTAATGTCTGTTATTCGGTCTACTTGGAGCCGGGAAGTGCTGTTATCGAGCCGCAGATCGCTACCGAAGCTGAAACCAACCCACTGTCCATGTTGATAAATCACAAATGACACCCTGAGTTAATGTCGTGCCGACCATGTTGCTGTCATTCTATTTCAATATATCTTGACAGAAATTTGCTGGAAGAAAAAACTGTTTTTGTTCAGTTACTTTATTCCAATTTGATTTTGTTATGGGGAGGTGGCGGGGGGATACGGTGAGGTGGCGGGGGACACGGAGGTGGCGGGGGACACGGTGAGGTAGGAGGTGGCAGGGGGATACGGGATACGGTGAGGTGGCGGGGGACACGGTGAGGTGGCGGGGGACACGGTGAGGTGGCGGGGACACGGTGAGGTGGCGGGGGACACGGTGAGGTGGCGGGGATGGCGGGGGATACGGTGAGGTGGCGGGGGACACGGTGAGGTGGCGGGGATACGGGAGGTGGCGGGGACACGGTGAGGTGGCGGGGATACGGTGAGGTGGCGGGGTGGTGAGGTGGCGGGGGGGGACGTGAGATAGCAGGGGTGAGGTGAGAGGTGGCGGGGGATACGGTGAGGTGGCGGTGAGGTGGCGGGGACACGGTGAGGTGGCGGGGATACGGTGAGGTGGCGGGGATACGGTGAGGTGGCGGGGGATACGGTGAGGTGGCGGGGGACACGGTGAGGTGGCGGGGGGACACGGTGAGGTGTACTGAGAGTAACGTCTTACACAGTCTACAACAGAAGTCAATCCATCTCAGGACAAGATACACTGGGTGGCCGGGCCAGTGAGTTTCTACATACGGAATATTGTCTCTGTCAGATGTGCCGCCAGATACTCCCTAATTATAAATATTCACAATTCATTCTTATTAGACACACTAGTGGTGGTCCAATTGATTGAAATAATCGAAGATTGGTCGTAATGACTAAACGACCAAGCAATCGATCACATTTTGCCATAATCGAACACAAACAATTTTGGAACACTTGTTTGCATTGACAATATTTATCACAAGGTTGGTTTTGTTTGTTGCGTTTCATAAGCACTACAAGCTCGTTCCAAGTCATGATTAAAATTTATCTTGAAGACTCCAGGAATTTTTTGTTCCTAACATATTAGTCATCCTTTTAAAGACATGAAATTTGCCAAAACAACCGAAAGAACTACATGTTTTTTTCTTTATTTTGTGTACATTAACAAACATAACCAGGACAATTTGATAAATAACGCTAACCAACTATTTTCGATGATTGATCGGTTGTAATGAACCAATCATCAATTATAAGATTTTAACCAATTCCCAACACTAAGACACACCACACTCATCTAGAGACTCTAACCCGAACGCATTAACTACCAGCTACATAAATGCACACAGGTGTATGAGATATATAGATGGTATACGAAGTATATGTGACTATACTCAGTATGCTAATTAATCAGCGTAATTGATATCCAGTAAATCTGTCAGACACGTTGGTGCCTTTTGTCGGTGATTTCAGACAACGTCGTAACGGTAACAGCAGTATACACGATGGACATTGTTACTGTAACAGTCTCTGAAACATTCACTGCTTCCTGCTGCGGTGTTCAACATTACTCATTAAAGCGGTAGAATGGCTATGTAAGTTTAATCGTCACGTGAACGAGAACGTTATCTTGGACAAGTGCGGAAGTACCGAGCGACACGACTGGCGACCTAGAAGGTGCTTTTGGAATTTGAGTTGATAATGACGGATGTTGTTCACGGTTTTGTCCCTGATCTCGAAACACATTTTGCGTTTAACGTTGTACCAGTTTGTTGTCTCCTTTGCGTGACAAATATACGAACGTGACGTGACGTGCAATGACTACACGATACTCGAGTCTGTGTCAGTGCTTTGCTAACAGTATCCGGTTACACTTGCGTGTCTCATCTTCAGGTGGAGGAAAGTCTCAAGGTGATGAGCGGTTTGGCTTCTACAACTTTGTTTGAAACAGGGCCCGTAAGTAGGTCACGGCCCTTCGCGAGACCTTGATTTAGTGCTCCCGGTGACAAACAACGTACACTTGGTCCGGTCTAGTAAAGTCATATTTGGCGGTCGCGCAATTTGGAACCAGAACTGGTTCTTGAATATACGCTTGTCACGGGAAATCTGGTACCGGGCGTAAGTTGGTCCCCGTCTCGTATATCGCAAGTTGGCGAGCGCAAAAGGAGCCGGGAACCAGCTTAGTAACGGGATTAGCGTCTCGCGAGACTTACAGGAGTGTTCAAGAGTATGGATATGGTGTTCAGGAGCTGACGTTATCAGATCGTACTGGAATTCGAACGACGCTGATCTAGGTCCGCGAATGGGTCAATGCTGTGAGGAGGTCAGTACAGCCAAGGAAGACAACTCTGCACACCGAGCCGCAACGTCCTTGACTGCATGACCAGACATGCAATTATGACAACAACTATTGCATAGGTCAACATTATTATTGTTATTATTATTATTAGTCCTACTGGGTCATGTATACTGTCGTTCCCGTCATCGTTGATTACCCACTACATATAGGCGCTGTGTCAGTATCCGGTATAGTAAAAGGAAAGGTGTTAGTTGAACACTGGAGTGCAAAGGATAATTACATAACATCAATCTCTCATACCCCGTGATCATTACCATAGTGACTATAACGCTACTGAGGGAAAAACCTTCGCAGCAAACAGATTCGGTGTCATTCAACTCTTTAACAATTCATGACAGTTCACGAGACTGCTTAAAACCAAACCAGAGCTCCGTTAATACTTTCCTTTCTGTGTTATATATTTGTAAGGCTGTTTCATATCTGACTACTTCAACTAAAGGATACAATGGCAATGTTCTGCCGTAACTACATCCAGGAAGATGTATTGTCATGTTGCCATTACGAGCCTATCCCCCGCGTCGCCATGCATCTCATTCCATCTTTTCACTGCCTGAGAGCATCGGAATTTCACTGAATGAGCGCAAACAAACCCATCGACATATCACCCCTAGATTTCACCTGGGGATATATTGTGGCCCTTTTGTTAATGTAATGAACACACTTTATCTTTCCTTAAACCATACCACTGTACACAAAAGATATACACTTGTCGATAAACAAGAAACAAATCTTTGACTGCTTAGCAAGTAACGGTCTCAACTCATTCAAACAGTTTCTAGATTTGGACTGGAATCACCGACAAAAGGCCCCAATGTGTCTGACAGATTTATTGGATATCACGTTTGCTCTGATGAAATCTTCGCAAACGAATTTCAATTCCCTTTTACTGGGGCATAATTTGGAATCGATGCGTTACCAGACCAACAGTAGTCTGCATAAAAACGAATCTCATATATACGACGTAAGAAAATAAAAGTCTCAAACATAAGTTCAATCTAGCTGCAATGCACAAGGCGATAAAGGACACACATCAACATGTCTTGATAACGGTAAATCGTATTGAGAGCGATATTAAGCAGAGCGTCATGGTCGCCCGAACCTGTCATTTGATAGTACATAACTAAATACCTACCGAAACCTCCTTGCTGTCAGTTATTATTGGTAATCAATTTTCGGATATAAATTATTGTCAGAAGCTGTTGTTCTGCAACTGCCGATCACAAGCACTATTGTTCTGCGGCGACAACATAATTCACGGTGAGTGATAAATCAAACTCAGGCAAGCGTATGTGACTGTAAGAGAAAGCATGAAGGAATACTGAAGTCTTTACCTTCCACAGAGGAACTGGTTCCGGCATGAGCATATCCCAGCACCGTACGAAGTGAATTGAACTGTCAAACATATATTATCACGTTGACGACAGGACATCGTTCACAGAGGCTGCTTATCGATCGGAATAAAACAAAAAACCGCACTTGAGACTTGCCATTGGGTGTAAGCTGTAGCATGAACCCAGTGCGTATTTTGTATACAAAACAGCTGTCCTCGCATTGTCGATAGCTTCATTGTTGGAAATCAACAACTGATGTCGATTTCACCAGCTTGTAGAGAATCTCGTTAGTTTCATCTGGGCCCGATCCATCTATCACAATTGGAACTTAGTGTCTCTTTCTCAATCACGAACTGGCTTCCATCTAAGTACGGTCTCCAAACTGGTTCTCTCATTACCACACAGTGTTAGAACATAAGTCCAAAGTGTTATAATATCCGACCCTTATTAAAGACATGCTTTCCGTTGCGACTTCAAGGTGTCGAGCGACATGTCAACTGAGCTATCAGTCTTCATCCGCTAGGCTGTCTTGAAATATTTATTGGATTCTGAATCTAATGAAATTTTAATTGATATTGTTTCTGTTATGGTTTTTATGACAGGACTTTTATATAGCGTTCCTCTCCCCAAGCGCCCAGCGCCGAAGCTACGGTAAAAATCAATAGGTAATTAGACAACTGCTAGTGATACGGTAGAGATGGACCTCTTAAAGTTAGACTTCGAGACTGCCCATTTGAAATGATGATTAGTTTGTTTGAGGAATGAGAGTCCAGTGATATGTTAAATGTCGTAATCGAATTCCCCTCTATCTGTTTGGTTAATAACGTGTCTGTAACACATGACTCAGGTAGAGCCGAGTGCAGCCATAATATTATTCATAATGGAATTTCGTGAACGTTTGTGATGTGTTTCATGATTCTGCGACAACGTATATTAAGGTAATAAAATTGTAATCAAGCCTGACAGTGTCTGTTTAAGAACCGGTCATATACAAGGAGTCTTGAATTTTCGTGAAAGATTAATTATTCTTTGGTGATTGCAATCAGACTTCATGATCAGGCAAACATATTTCGTTTGGTTGATGTTGATCTGGTGCTTTGGCATCAAACCAGCGTTCGCGGTTTTTACCTTGTGAACTTCAACCATTAGAGCGTTCTTTCCGTTACAAGATGTCTCGCTAACTCACTAGGTCTGCTGTCGATCACAATGACGATCACTGACCTGGAACCACTGTGCCAAAGACGCCTCCACAGTTATGATCGTTGACCTGGGCCCGTGGCGCCTCCATATGACAGTTATGATCCACGTTGACCGTTGGCCGTGGCGCCCTCCACAGTTATGAGTTATGACCTCCACAGTTATGATCGTTGACCGTGGGCCGTGGGCCGTGGCACCTCCACAGTTATGATCGTTGACCTGGGCCGTGGCGCCTCCTCCAGTTATGATTGTTAACCTGGGCCGTGGCACCTCCACAGTTATGATCGTTGACCTGGGCCGTGCAGTTATGCTGGCGCCTCCACCTCCACAGTTACCTGGGCCGTGGATCCACGTTATGACCTGGGCCGTGGCGCCTCCACAGTTATGATCGTTGACCTGGGCCGTGGCACCTCCACAGTTATGATGTTGGGCCTGGGCCGTTATGATCGTTAACCTGGGCCGTGGCGCCTCCACAGTTATGACCGTTGACCTGGGCCGTGGCACCTCCACAGTTATGATCGTTGACATGGGCCGTGGTGCCTCCACAGTTATGGCCGTTGGCGCTCCACAGTTATGATCGTTAACCTTGGACATGGGCCGTGGCGCCTCCACAGTTATGATCGTTGACATGGGCCGTGGCACCTCCACAGTTATGATCGTTGACCTGGGCCGTGGTGCCTCCACAGTTATGATCGTTGACATGGGCCGTGGCGCCTCCACAGTTATGATCGTTAACCTGGGCCGTGGGCCGTGGTGCATCGTTGACCTGGGCAGTTATGATTGTTGACATGGGTCGTGGTGCCTCCACAGTTATGATCGTTAACCTCGGTCGTGGCGCCTCCACAGTTATGATTGTTCCACACAGTTATGAGTGGGCCGTATCCACAGTTATGATCGTTGACCTGGGCCGTGGCGCCTCCACAGTTATGATCGTTAACCTGGGCATCCACAGTTATGATCGTGGTGCAGTTATGATCCACAGTTATGATCGTTGATCGTTAACCTGGGCCGTGGCGCCTCCACAGTTATGCTCCACAGTTATGGTTGACCTGGGCGTGGCGCCTCCACAGTTATGATTGTTAACATGGGCCGTGGCGCCTCCACAGTTATGACCCCTGGGCCGTGCTCCACAGTTATGATCGTTGACCTGGGCCGTGGCGCCTCCACAGTTATGATCGGTGACATGGGCCGTGGCGCCTCCACAGTTATGATCGTTGACCTGGGCCGTGGCGCCTCCACAGTTATGATCGTTGACATTCGTTGACCTGGGCCGTGCCTCCACAGTTATGATCGTTGACATGGGCCGTGGTGCCTCCACAGTTATGATCGTTGACATGGGCCGTGGCGCCTCCACAGTTATGATCGTTGACATGGGCCGTGGCGCCTCCACAGTTATGATCGTTGACATGGGCCATGGGCCACATTTCTAATAGTTGCCTCCACAGTTATGATCGTTGACCTGGGCCGTGGTGCCTCCACAGTTATGATCGTTGACCTGGGCCTCCACAGTTGCCTCCACAGTTATGATCGTTGACCTTGGCCGTGGCGCCTCCACAGTGATCGGTGATGGGCCGTGGCGCCTCCACAGTTATGATTGTTAACCTGGGCCGTGGTGCCTCCACAGTTATGATCGTTAACCTTGGCAGTGGTGCCTCCACAGTTATGATTGTTGGCCGTGGCGCCTCCACAGTTATGTTGCCTCCACATGGGCCGTGGTGCCTCCACAGTTATGATCGTTGACCTGGGCCGTGGCGCCTCCACAGTTATGATCGTTAACCTGGGCCGTGGTGCATCCACAGTTGGCGCCTCCACAGTTATGATCGTTGACCTGGGCCGTGGTGCCTCCACAGTTATGATTGTTGACATGGGCCGTGGCGCCTCCACAGTTATGATCGTTGACCTGGGCCGTGGCGCCTCCACAGTTATGATTGTTGACATGGGCCGTGGTGCCTCCACAGTTATGATCGTTGACATGGGCCGTGGCGCCTCCACAGTTATGATCGTTGACCTGGGCCGTGGCGCCTCCACAGTTATCATCGTTGACATGGGCCGTGGTGCATCCACAGTTATAATCGTTGACATGGGCCATGGCACCTCCACATTTATGATAATTGACATGGGTCGTGGTGCATCCACAGTTATGATCGTTGACCTGGGGCCATGGCGCCTCCACAGTTATGATCGTTGACCTGGGCCGTGGCGCCTCCACAGTTATCATCGTTGATCTGGGCCGTGGCGCTCCACAGTTATGATCGTTGATCTGGTCCGTGGCACCTCCACAGTTATGATCGTTGATCTGGGCCGTGGCACCTCCACAGTTATGATCGTTGATCTGGGCCGTGGCACCTCCACAGTTATGATCGTTGATCTGGGCCGTGGCGCCTCCACAGTTATGATCGTTGATCTGGGCCGTGGTCCATCCACAGCTGTGATCTCAGACCCGGAGGTTGTCCGCCAAAGATGAACAAAACTGTTTACCTTCTTATGAATTGGAACTTATACAAGCACAAGCAGCGTAACTTTGCAAAACATGCAATGATAAACATATACCCTTTTCCATCACATCATCGTTCGGAGAATTAATTTGAACTTACAAACTTTGAAAGCGAAATGTGTATTTGAAAAACCAATTGGAACAGCTCCATCTCCTGAGGTTCGGGTCTCTGATATATTTTATAGCCTTTTTATAGAATTACCTATTCCAATGACACCCTTGTCAATGAGTCAGACACATATTTCTTTTGAATTCCATTAGAGAGTATTATTTGGCTAATCTCAATAACGCTTCACGGTGATGGAACAGCGTGACTGTGCTTCTTTGGACGAGATGTGAACAAGTAACAAACTCAATTATGACCCCTAAATGGTTTTATTCCATTCGACATGTCAGGTGTCGTACCTTGCCTCTTCTGTACTGGTGAAAGTGCATTACCTTACTAACATTCGTGAAAGTCAGGAGTCCGTATTAACAAAGTCCAATTGATAAGATCTTCATCATACATATTGCCTGAAACTCATAATACCTAGTGTCCTTTAGACAGTTATAAATGCATACCCGGGTAATATGAACATAACGCGATCTTGGAAACCGGCGGCCGCTTTAGCCATGGTTTCCATGTCTGACCATTAGGCAGAAGACGCAAATTTGAGTTTATATTGTTTTGCGCCGCCGGCAGTAATTTAGTATCAAGTTGGAGCCTGCACAATCCACGGCATACGGTTACTATGACTACACACCTACACAACATATACGCATTACTACTTCTGGATGTTATTGCAGAATAGTCTTCATTTCAATAGTATCAAGTTTTCACATTCGTTGTGACATACACTCTTTGAAATACAGATTCCGAAACCATTTACATATGGTTGTGCTATGCCAGTATTTATTTGACATATTTTCTGTTCAACCTCTGCTTCAACACATCTGTATCCCAGTCCTTGCGACCATCTGGACAACCACTGCACCAATCAATACCATATAGTCTTGTGTGTATATGAGATATATGAGATATAATGTTACAAGTAGATATATCTAAAAGATACAAGAATTCGGGCTATATGAAAACAAAGTAGTGCGCTACTTGTTTCCATGGCAATATATTCCTCGGGTCCCACCCAATATGGATGCGGGGACAGGAAGCGTGTCCTATTCAGCATAGCACCATGAAAAAATACAGGAGTTATACTTTCCTTGCAATATAATTATACCGCCAAATTCCACTGTCGACGTGGACCAACGTTTGAACATTGAAAATCCTATTAAAAGGCAGTAAATTATCAAATTAATCAAATCAATTCCTCTTGGAGTTTATATACATCAAGAGCACGATATAACTCCCGTCAGAGTCTTGAACACGGGGACTCGGCTATGAAGTGCACGTTGATTACAAGTCAAGAAAACGAAGCACCTCAATTAAATGTAAATTTATCAGCTCGAGCGTTCCTGCTTCGTGCATCGTATACAGCCTCATTTACAAATGGGTCTTCTTTGTGGACTCGCCGCTGCATTGTGGGATGACGCAGTTGTAATATTGACTAACTGTAAATGATTAAGACCTTCCCAAAGGATTAATGCGCTTGCCTTTGACTGTAGGTTTTTATGGAGTCGACCAAATGGAAAACTCTCTTTGGTTGTTCATTACAGCGGGAATATAGCAGGGATATCGATTACATTGGAAGTGTGGATATGATGAAAAAGTAAACAAACCCGTTCGTTTTTCACTGATCGTCAAGGTGCACGACCCGATCATCAAAATGCTGACCTTGATATCTAAGGTGAAC